TTAAGCATGGTATATAAAATCATACATTGCAATGTCCTACCTGTCAATGAATACTTCAGCTTCAACCATAACAACACAAGAGCACACAATAGATACAAACTCAAAGTTAACCGCACCAAACTTGATTGCAGGAAATACGACTTCAGCAATAGAGTGGTCAATGTCTGGAATACTCTACCTGACTCTGTGGTTTCTTCCCCAAACCCCAAAAACTTTAACCTTAGACTGTCTACTATTGACCTCACCCCTTTCCTAAGAGGTCTGTAGGGGGCGTGCATAAGCGCACCAACGTGCCTACCGTCCCTGTCCTATTGTTTCTCTTATTCTTCTTTTATTTTTCTTATATGTACCCATTTCATGTATTCACAACTATGTATACACTTATACCTATTATCTTGTAAACAATTGGCAAATCAAATAAATAAATAAAATAAATAAAAAACTTTTGTTTGGCTTCTTATTGTAAATTCCCTATCGTGATAGATCCAGAGCCATTTAAAATCTTTACCAGCAGGGGGAACCACATTCCTTCTTTCTATTCTAACTTGCAGGCACGGTGGGCTAGAAAATGGCGACATTTTATACTGTAAAGACTTTTTGAAGGGACTTTTTCCTTCTTTCACTCATGGCTCCAGAAATCTGTTGAAATATGAGAAGTGTCAAAAGACAATCATGCCAGTCCTAACTTTATATCTCTGGGAAGCAGAGGGGAAGTCACAGCAGCAGAAAATAGGGGACATACATGTGCAGCTACTTTGAGAACAATGGTGTATGCTTAATACATGTCAGTTTGTATTAATGTTCTCTATCCCATTCCCACTCATTTGCTGCTGAACGTTACAGGAAATGCATACCAAGCAGAGAAATAGTCTTTATTTATACTCTGTCATCTCCAAGACTAGCTCATTCCTGCTGAGATGGAGGCTAAAGCAGGAAATGGTTGTGAAGCTATAATTCGGAGCTACTGGTTGAGTGGAAAGAAGTGAATTGGGACCAGAAGGGTGTAAGTGAGGGTGAGACCTACAGTTTGGCTTGACTTTTAAGCTGCTTTCAATCCCATTTAGATGCCAGGAGTCCAGTTTCAGGGAGGAGTGTTGCTCCCTACTTAACAGGGCTTCTTTAAAAAATTCAGGCTGGAATCCTATTTGACCAGATTTTTTTCATTACAGATCAAGCAGCAAGATGGAAAGAGGGGAGACTAATTTTCTCTGCATTTCCCAGAATGGCTTAGTTATCTTCCAGGGAGCTGCTTTTTAAATTCATCTAACTCAGCAGAAACAGATGCAGATCTGCAGTTGTGGAAATAGGCATTCAGAATTCCCAATTTTCATACCCTGGGTTTGCAAATTCTGTTTTGGCCAGCCTGAACTTCTTATTCCTCATTCATCAGTCTCCATGTGGCTTGTTAGCTTTGTTTTGTATTATGTACAAATTCAGGCATAGTCAAATATTTATGGTAAGCTCTGAAGAATCCCAGTCCAATAGCTGTATGATTATTTGTATATAGTGTTGACATTATCTAAATCAGGAACATACAATCCGAGTGCCTCAACTCAAAGCTTAATAGCCTCAACTCAAAGCTTAATAGCCTTTTTACACTGCTGAATTAAAGTGACATCCCTCTAGCCTTGAGTCCTCCCCCACCCCTAAAAAGAAAGAAAGAAAAGAATTGTCCTATTCCTATTACTGCTTGCAATCTTGCCTCTTTTTTATCTGTTCAGAATCACTGCATAACGGTATTGCACTAGCAGAGATTGGTCGACTCTAGTGCCTCTCCATCTCCTGACTCTTCTGAGTTGGCATCATAACATTACAGCTAGGATAGAGTAGGGTGGAGTTAGATAAATATGTGATGTTCCCTTTGTACATCTCCAGCTTCCTTTGTCTCTCCCTCCTCCTACACTGTAACATAAATTGAATTAAGGGTTAAAAAAGAAAAACAATCAAGAAGGGAATTGAGTCACTAGCGATTCTTTCTGGGAGAAAGGATTTTTATTTAGAATTTCCTCTTCTTTCCATCTATTCAGTGTTAACATTTTTCTGCTTTGGGCAAAAACCAGAAAAGGCTATAGAGTAAAAGTAAGCTGGAGGAACCTAGCGCTACTGCACTAATCGGGACAATTACCCCCCAACTCCAATCTGTTATCTGGATGTAAATAGTAACCTAAAAGTCTTGATTAAATTAAGTTTAGATCTTGATAGCCACACAGTCATATATATTTAGTTTCCTTGGCAACAAAACAAATCCTATCACTAATATTATTTCTGAGCTTTTCTGGTATTTCATATGCTAAATTGTGGCCACATGTTATGGGAAAGAAGAGCTGAATGACAACAGAGGAGGCTGATTGGCAGCAGCATGCTTGCATCAATTTCAAACACCCAATAAGCATCTATGGGATCCTACCAGCCATAGGTCACCTGACTTTGCTACCAAGATAACAAGTAGTGAAACTTAATTGATTTTATACCCTTTTGAGACACTTCTTGGAGAATGTTTCAATACAGAGGAAAATGTGACTGTAAGAATAGTACAACTAAGGACAGCTTACTATCATTTTACTCAGGGGGTGAAGACAAGATGAATGCAGTGTCAGAAGGTCAGCTTGGAAAATAGATGTTACATCACACTTTTGTTTACATGCAAATGGAGATTTAGACAAGTTACACCAGTGATTTCATCCATCTAATATGGATGGATATATTTAAGAAATGCAGGCAAAATTTAGGCTGAGACCTGGAAAGTTATCCTAGGGAAAATTAAGCAAATTATAGCTGCCACTATAGGGATCAAGACTAGAAGGAAAGAAGGGAGGAAGACTATATTAAAATTTTCATGGAAGAACTTAATTATAATAGTGCTGAAGTAACTCAACCCAGCCATGCTATATACAAATGTAACTTGGTTTTTTTAAAATGATTTATTAAATTTTAAATATTTGAAGCTGTCAATTTTTCCATTTCAACCAATTCGATCTGTTTAGCCATCCATTCTTTCAATGTAGGTATTTGTAAGTCATTCCACAATTGTTATTGTTATCATACATAAAAACAAAGTTCCATGAGATCTTTCAATCTGCTTGTCCAAATAAAAAACCTCTGGTTCAGTTCTGGTTCTAAATTTTCTGAATCAAGATACATATTTGTTCCCAATATTTTCTGGCTTTCTTCCATGTCCACCAAAGATGAAAAATGTACTCTCGGATTAATTACATTTCCAACAAATATTTGAAATTCCATTCTATATTTTTGAAAATTTATACAATGTCAAATACCAGTGATATATCTTTTATTAAAGTTCTCTTTAATTCAAAGTCAATTTCAACCCCCTTTTTTACATATTTTTCCATTGGTGCCAAGGTATATTTCCAAGACTTTTGGCCCATCTTATATACAGTCTTTAATTTATTCATCCTCTGTTTTCATTTTCAATAAAACTTTACACATCTTAGCAGTAATGAGTTCATCATTTGTACACAATTCCACATCAAATTCATTCTTACCCATTTTCAAAGCCATACTTCTTATCAAATTTAAATCTTTCCATAAACTGAAGGCAGGAAATGATGCATAATCTTCCAATTTCAAATCAGTCATGGAGCTAAGTATTATCTGAAATAGAAATAACATTCTCGGTAAAACATTCATCTTGATCACAAAAATTCTTCTAGCAATGACAAATGCAGTTTTCCCTATCTCAACATATTTTTTTTCAACTTCATTCCATACTGTATCATGTTTTGAAATAACATAGAATTCAGATCAGTCAAAGTAACACCCAGATATTTAATCTTTTCTCAATATTAAAGCCAGATTTTCCCCCCCATCAAGTCTTCTTGATCCTGTATATTTAGAACTTCACTAGGTTCTCTATTTTTTGTTTATTAATCTTAACACATTCTAATAAGCCAAAGCCATTCAGTTTTTCAGTCAAAAACTCAATCCCTTTTAAGGGATCCAATAAAATACAAAATCAGGCCATGTACAAAAACTCTCAATGTATAGATCTCTTTTTTTATTTTTAGTCCCATTATACTTTTATCTAACGTCTTTGTTCACCACTTGTAGAATCAAAATGAACAATTAAAGGGACTTTATCTTGTTTCTTTCTGAATATCATACCTGATCCTGAAAAATAAAATATGCTTACAAGGTTCACTGTTTTTAAATCAAAATTTAAAGGACTCCTCCCTACATTTATTCCTCTGAAGATTTTTGCACATTATTCTTAATAAGGGGCTACAGATAATGTCATCAACATTGTAAGAGAGATGGGTGGAATTCTAATCATTTCTACTATTAATAGATGGGGAAATTCAGATTTCTTAGTTGAGGCTGAACTTTATGCTATGTATAAAAAAGAAGAGGCTCCAAATCAGTCCAAGGGGATTTAAGTGGAATCTTGTATACTCTGCTTGCCCCTACAAGAGTATATAAACAAGCAGCTCACAATGAAATTAAAAACTTCAGGAAATAAATAAAGTTCATAAAACAGAAACTGGCCATTTCAAGCTTCTAAGCAGAAAAGAGTTGATTGAGTTTTGCTCCTTTTCAGACCCTGCTGGTGCTTGGAGATGACTAAAGAAGGTATTTTTATACAAACATTTATCAAGATAAATTCTTGAAATTCATTTCCACCCAAGAAATGAATCATATTTCCTGGAGATGAATTTATTACATTCTGTCCAGAAAGTAAATCACAGGCCTTCTAAGCAAAATGCCACTTGTTTCTTTTCTGTTTCCCAATCCTCAGAGTCAGCACTCACATATGCACTTTGAAAATGCTATATGCATGATGACCTGCTTCCTTTTTCCTTGCCTGTGATGGAAATCAAGGAAATTGCATTCAGTTTCCAGCTTTAAATAGGTCATAAAGATGGTGTCAGTGTATCTTTAAAAAAAGGAAATATGGAAAGTTTTAGAAAGGAAATCATATTATGTTGGTATCACAGTTATAGGAACCAGATCCCCAGATGACCTAATGATCACAAGTCCAAAGTGTAAAAACTATACCGTCCTTTCTCCTAAGATCTGGTGTTTGACTTTTTATAGTGACTCTTAAACTACAACATTGACATTCAGTCACTTCACAAAGTTGTTGTGAGGAAAACAGGAGGAGGAAGAAATATTATATATGTTTGCTGCCTTGAAGTCAGGATTCCAGGTAATATACCCATAGCAAACAGAACTCCAAGGCAGGTAGGTTCCTTAAAGAACAGTTTTATTGGATATGTCATATTGGCACAGACTGGTGAAAACTGACTCTAATGGTTCCCATGGTTTTCACCTAATTAAAAGTAAATGTTTTTCCCCTTTTCCCAAACAGTCATATGGTCCAATCAAGATGCTGTCTGGTTGCTTGGTAACTTCACTCCTCCTCTCGCCATCCACCTGTGGGAATGTCCCTGGTTCCCAGAGGAAACTATTTTGTTTTGGCTACAAACCCCCTTCTCCAGTTAGCTCTATTCCCCCCTCCCTAGCCCTCATCTCCATTGTGGCAACACTGAAGCCTCAAAGATGGCCTCAGTCAGACCAGCTTCAAAGTTGACACTTTAATTAGAATGTAATTTTTAATTGGCCAAGTGTGATTGGACACACAAGGAATTTGTCTCTGGTGCATAAGCTCTCAATGTACATGCAAGTAAGAAGTGATAAATCATGGTCATAATCATCATAAAATACATTCATCATAAATCATAAGATACACTTAGTTATAGGATATTAAATAAGCAATCAACATAAATCATACTAAGATGCTAAATAAAACAATATAAATCATAAGATACAAGCAACAATGTTATAGTCATAAGAAGATAAGGAAATAGCTAATAGGAAAGATGAGAAGGATAATAGTAATACAGCCCTACTAGGTAGTTTAACAGTTTTGTGGGAATTAGTTGTTTAGCAGAGTGGTGGCATGGGGGAAAAATTGTCCTTGTGTCTAGTTGCTCTGGCATGCAATGTCCTATAGCAGGGATCTTCAAACTTGACTACTTTAAGACTTGTGGACCAACTCCCAGAATTCCTCCCCCAGTCAAGTTAGTTCAGGAATTCTGGGAGTTGAAGTCCACAAGTCTTAAACTTGCCAAGTTTGAAGAACCCTGTCCTATAGCGCTGTCTTGAGGGAAGAAGTTGAAACAGTTTATGTCCAGGATGTGAGGGGTCCTGGATATTTTCACAGCCCTCTTTCTCACTCGTGTAGTATATAGGTCCTCAATGGAAGGCAGGCTGGTAGCAATTATTTTTTCTACAGTTCTAAAGTAATAAAAAACAGGATAAAAATGTAATAAATAAATCACATCCAATAAGTAGTGCTCTGAAGCACTAGTTTACCAATTTCTCACATGTAACCAGTGTACTAATGATCAGGCCAAGTGAGAGCTGGTCAGAGAAGATCAGTGAACTATTGGATGCCTTTTATTTACTACTTTCAGCAGTTGACTAGTTAAAATTTTATATTTTTATTTTTTATTTATGAGCGGTCTTTGTTTCAAGGTGAAATTACAAACATCCTATGAGTTTCATCTTCTAGCTCAAGGAGCAAAGAGAAAGTTAAACCTTTTTGTCCTCTCACTATGATATTTGCCTGGCGTCAGATATGGAGTCAAAGGAGAAAGAGTAAACTTCTGCATAAGAAGTCTATCAGTTGAAACTGCACGCTGGTCAAAAATCTGCCCACAACAAGGAAAACAATTGGCCCTTTCTTTCCTAACACAAGTAAGAGGGGTAAATAAGCAGGGGAATCTACCAATTGGGAGCCATGGTAATGATCTTCTGAATATAACATCTGGTCAGTATTGTTATGAAATCTGTAAAACTAAAGTCTGAACAAGAAATTCTTAAAATGGCTTAATTTCCAATTCATTGCAGCAGATGAAACAAACAGCTTTTGGCTGCTCTAAATAAAACATGGATGAGGTTTCGCCCATCCCCCACCCCCATTTTCTGAGCTGCAGTGGCGCAGTGGATAGAATGCAGTACTGCAGACTACTTCTGCTGACTGCTGGTTGCCTGCAGTTCAGCAGTTCAAATCTCAGCAGGCTCAAGGTTGACTCAAGGTTGACTCCCATCCTTCTGAGGTTGGTAAAATGAGGACCCAGATTGTTGGGGGCAATATGCTGACTCTGTAAACAGCTTAGAGAGGGCTGTAAAAGCACTGTGAAGCGATATATAAGTCTTATTGCTATTTCTCCAATTGTGCTTTCGATTGAGTTGGGTTATCAGCTAATATGAAAAGGGAGTATCTATTTTGGGGCTTTTTTTAAAAAAAAGTGGAATCAGATGATTGTAATTTTTTTTAAACAAAATATTTCTGATTGTTAGAAATTCCTAGAAAATCAAAGATGATATTGGTAGTGTGGTAACATCACAAACACAACTGATCATGTGATAACAAATTTTGCAAATAGCAAATTTTGGGATGTTTGACATTTTGGAGTTAGATAATCAGAGAAATTATCCAGTAAGGAGGAGGAGGAAAGGGCAGGCAAGGACCGATTTGAACCAAGGCTGAATGATTTATTAGATTAAATATTATAACAATATTAAAACAAGAATTATCATTAAAGATCAGTCTGCCTGGTTCTTATGAAAAATTGGGTTCTTCAAAATGTTTGCCTTTATGGGATTCTCTACCTTTTTAAAAAGTATTTACTCTTTTTTGGTAAATTAGAATATCCTTAAATTAATAAAGATTCTTTCCCTGGTTATTTTTCCTTTTTCAAATTAGTACTTCCCATATTCTCATTTTCTAAATAGCAAACATTGTGTAGCCCTGATCCTCTGAACTCAAATGCACATTATGTTTTTCTTCTAAGAAGAATGAAGAATAGACAGTCTCTTGAGACAAAAACTCTTGTGTGAAAAAAGCTTTTTCCTCTTTTTTTTAAAAAAAATGTTCCAATAGAATGGCCTTCAAACAAAATTGAATTGAGTAAACAAAGCATGGGGACTGTTTCTTTTGTAATTTACAGTATACCTCAACCATAAGCTTTTAGAAATGCAGATATTTTAAACCTGAAATATACTTTATGCTTTTATTCTGGTAAACATTTTATTGTTGTAAAAGTCTCTCTGGATTTTGGCAGTAGAGAAATAAGAAAAATAAATGAATAAAATAATTTTAAAACTTTGCTGAACTGAATGCGATGTACATGTGAATGTTTTTCTCACTAGAGAGGTCTCCTGGAAATGGGTGGTGTGCAACTTCTGTTCTAATTCCAGAACTGACATGCTGAATTCCATGTCACAGTGCCACCAGAGGGAATTTCTGCTGCAATCCCACCAGATCAGGTGTTTACCAGATTAGGGAATGTTGCTTTGATCTGTTAATCTACATTTTTACTCTAGTGCAATTAGAGGCATTGATGTACCAAAAGTGCTATTTAGCTTGAATTTGGATATGGTATCCACATAATACACTACAATAAACACAAGGATGGAGAGCACTTGACTCAATTTCAGCACTGAAATTCCCACAATGGACCAATGGGCTATAAAAAAATCTCAGAATTGGCAAAAAAGACAAAACTGACCAGTTTTAGTCAGGGAGAAAGCAATAAATACTTATTTTTAGCATCTGAAAATTTTTATGGATTTTTTGATAAAATAAAAAAAATGTAAGTGATTTATGGATTTAGTGATTGAAAAAGATTAGGGTTAAATAAGAGCTGAAGGGATATCCAGAATATTTTAAGAGGGAGTGGGGATGATGAGTTTCTTAATATCTATTAAAAGAAGGTTGAAAGTCATTTAATTTTTTTAGTTGTCTTCCTTTTCTTCATACTTAATTCCTTTTTTCTTTCCTTTTATTTTTTAAAATCTTTTACTTTAAAAAAAAACTTTAATAAAAAATACAAGCATACACACACAGAGAGAAACACTTATTTATTGTTCTTTCTTATATGTATATACAAGTCTCTTGCTCCTGTTTTTAAATGAATAGCTGTTGGGAGTTTGAGTATCAAAGAATACGTCCAAAATTAAGGACACCACTCTAGCCCAAATGTTCCATGTTGGAAACTGAGCTTTGAATTCTTTTCAACTTGTTACTTTGCTCTTGTCAGACATGATGAAGGATGCTGTATCATCATTATCATTGCACTAAGTGCACCTGTCATTGGGGGTCATTTTTAATATATGGTTATTGCATCAACCCTACATTTTGATATGAAAGGCTGGATTAAATAACAAGAAAGCTGCTTGCATTATAGTTGCTATGAAGCTAAGGTGATCCATGTTGAAAGCACGTCAGGAGGAGCGGGGAGAGGGGACCAGTTCTTTCAAGAAAATGCAGTATTTGTTTCCTTGCACTTATAGGAATGGCTCTGACTGGGATTAGATTATTTTGTGAAACAAGAATTAGATAAGCAAAATGCCTCCATTTACTAGAGTTATGGACCAGTTACATGATGGCGGCAGGCATTAGTCTGTTTTCACCGAGATAGAGAATCTTCCAGGCAAAGCTGAAGAAAACTTCCTTTCATTCACATTCAGACAGGCAGTTAGGGAAAATGCTATGTGTTTGGGCTCTGTGGTTGATCGACAAGTTAGGTGGAGAGAAAATATCCCCCCTTCTAAGCTTTCCTTTTCTACTCCTCAGCAGCAGCAGCAGTCAATGAAAAAACAGCCCCCTTCTGCCTGGATCTGATGAACCCTGCATCAAGAGAAGGGTGCGTGGAAATGTTTCTAGCATGAGTTCATGGAAAGAGAAATGCTGGCAAGGAGTTGCATTGCAGAATGAATGCCAGAAGACTCTATGAGTCCCACTGGACACAGACTAGCGTACAAATACTTTGTTGCTGGAAGTGAGTCCTGAACTGCTAGTATTGCTACTCTGGTGCAAGGGGAGGAATGCAATGAAATTGGTAACAGGAGGGGGTAGGATCCGACCA